TCTTCTCCTTTTAAATTATGTTAAAATAAACACTGAAAATATACAAAGGAACCTATATTCTTTTACCAAATAATTAGATGCTATCTTGGAACACACAGCTGAAGTCTGACATCCAATAAATCGAAGACAAAGCTTCAATTAGCCCAGATAATGCCCATAAACCCAGCAGTGCTTTGCAAAGATATGTAAATGTCAGCACCTTCATTTTACAGGGAGAAAAGGGAGTGCTGAGAGCAGACATGGTCACATCACATCATGCCCAAGAATCCAGACTCCTTTATTCCCAGACTAATTAGTATCTCTTCTAACAATATTCCTCTTCATACTAACATTCAACTATGCTGTAACATACATCAACAGACAGGAAATATTATCCCTAATCCTTTGGAAACTGCTGTGATTATTCCGTACAAAAACTGAGTAGATTCATTCTGCTTATTTGCAAGTTCTGAGGAAAGCTGTTCTTCCAACTAGAATCACAGAATCATTAAGGTTGAGAAAGTCATTCAAGATCATAAAGTCCAACCTTTGACCATTCACCATCTTGTCAACTAAACCACAGCACTAAGTGCCAGGCCCAGTCATTAAAATACACCTCTAAAGGTTTAACGAAATATAAAAAATAGACCTCTGAAAATATTTATAAATGAAGAAAATTGTTCTTTTCTTAGAGGAAAAAAATAAATCAAGCTTTGGATAACAACCAGGATCATTTAAATTACCATCTTTGGCACTCAAAAGGGAAGTATTCAGACATCCAAGATTTTATAAGTCATTACCTAACTTGAAAAATATAAACATCATTAAGCAACAAGAGTTGCAGAATGTAGAACAAGACACAGAAACAGTTGGGGTACAACTGAAGTGAGGTCCTAATATCTAGCGATTATTTTCTGTCCTTTGATAGCATCATCTGCCCTCATGAAAGGACAGAACACACAGGAAAAAACAAACTATGAGTCCATTTGCAGATACAAACTTCTCTTCCTACACCAAAGAGGTGGTAGCTGTCCCATCCCTGGAAGTGTTCCAGGCCAGGTTGGATGGGGCTTAGAGCCACCTGGGCTGGTGGAAGATGTCCCTGCTCATTGCACAGGGTGGAATGAGATGAGCTTTAAGGTCCCTTCCAACCCAAACCAGTCTGGGATTCTGATTCAAAGCCTGCTGACACAACAAGCAGGCACCAAACAGGATTGCACACTAAGACTCGAAGAAAGCTTTGGATTGCTTCCTCAGTACTCTGCTAAGCTCTGACAACCCACAATCCAGGTTCATCCAAGGAAAACTAATGCAGAAATCCAGAGCTGTTGGGCCTTGGCCACGCTGCAGCAAACAGCAGCAAGCAGAAGTGATGGCTGCAACACGGGGTGAGCAGACAGAGTTAACAGGCACCACAGCACAAGGAGCTGCTCAAGAGAAAAAACAAACTTGGAAAGAAAAGAAAGTGGTTAGTCACGAGGGATTATAATGGCCCATAGTAAACAGTCCAGTTCATCAAATAAACAAAGCAAATTCCCCATCCTGCAAGATGCTAGGGAATTCTCTGAGAGGAAGTGCAAGCTCCCTGCTTCCAGCACATTCAACCCAGTGGGACTGGTGAGAAGCACTAGCTCCCACAAGGGAATATTGAACCTCCTGATGGTTCTACCGAAGGAAGAAGAGCACAGCACATGGCTTACAACCCAGAGCACAAACAGCAAGGTGCAAACACACACTGCATTCATCAGTGGGTTCAGAGAGACTTGCAAAAGTAAGTTCAAAAAATAAACCCTCCTTCATCTAACTCTCAGAGCTCATCAACCTCTATTTCTCTGTAACAAACTGTCAGTGCCTTCTGTTCTGGGTTTCAAAAATAAAAGCCCAGTGCTGCAGGGGCTGCATCCTGCCAGGAGTCTCAGCTCAGCACATTGGGTTACACAGGAAAAGCCTCTGAAGGCCTTGGACCTGCGTCTGGGGTTTGAGGAATGTGCAATTAAAATCAGCTGCTCCTAAAGTGGCAGCAGGGTGGAGGCTGGCAATAATAAACTCATTTGGAAGCAGTGTCTTCTCCCCAGCTCTACCAGATACCAAATTAGAAACAGTTCTGGCAGCATCTTGTCTGCTGCTTGTGAGGCAGGAGAGAAGAGACTTGCTAAAATCCAGCTGACAGGTTTTTGCATTTATCCTAGGTTCAACCACAGGCAAGTCTGTTGAGTCGGGAATGCCCCTGCACTGGCTTCAGTCAACAGGAAACAAAAGGCCCAACCAGGCATAGTGCTGAGGGCTCTTCATTCACAAAAACCTCCTTTTCTTCATAAAAATGTCTCCATGGGACTGTGTGTGATCAGACTCTCAGACAAACTGCCACAAGCAGATGCTGGTGGCAATTACCAACAGAGTATCAGTGCTGACCTTATCTGGATCAAAATTATCTCACCAGGATGAGCAAGATGCACTGGACAGGAGAGACCACATCTGCACTTCATTTGGAGTCATAGAACGATGGAATATCCTGAGTTGGAAGAGACCTACAAGGATCATTGAAGTCTAACTCTTGGCCCTGCACAGGACAACCCCAAAATCCCACCACGTGCCTGAGAATATTGCCAAGTGCTCCCTGAGCTCTGGCAGGCTGGAGTCACCCAGTTCTATGCTGCATACTCAACAATGCAACTTGTGCCCCTGTGGACATGCTCAAGTGAAACTCAATCCCACAACATTATTAAAATATCCACACATTTTAGTATAAATTTCCCATTCACTCCCACACTCTGTCCCCTACTTCAAGCTTTCAAACCAGTGTGGCTGCACAAAACTGAACTCTTCCAGAGCAAACAGCTTCACAGCAGCAATGCTTTCCCTCTGCATAATGCTGATTCTCAAAGCAGGACAGACAGGCACAGCAGATTCTGACAGATGCCTAAGGGAGAGAAATTAACCCAAAATTCAGACAAGCAAACCTCTGTCGTATTATGCAGCCTCAGGACACAAACTCATGACTTAACTAAATAGACTTTTCCTACAGACTATCTCCTACAAACTATCTCTCTGTGTTAATCATGTTCTGCAGAGCATCTCTGCTCAGCACCAAATTTAATATGACAAACTAGGAGCTTATCACATCAACCATCACCCAATGCAATTTGATAGGAGAGGCTCAGAGCCTGCTTCCAGTCAGCATGACCTTTTCCAGCATCTTTATAGATCCTTGCATATATTTACTAGAAAACACCCCAGCAACAGGATAATGAGAGCTCCCAGCACTGAAGACAGGATTGACAATAGTGTGAGCAACAAATCTGACCCTCCATTAAGAATTACATGTGAAGATCAACAGGACCAAAGCTTTAAGCATGCACACTTGGACGGTGGCAGAATGGGAAAAACCTTAGGAATAGGCAGAAAAAGTGGAAGAGACAATTCAGAGTGAAAGGAGGTGATAGAAGGAAGAACAGCTACCAAAACCATGGCTGGATGAGGAGCAGCTTGGAGAGGTTCACAGAAGAGATCTCACTTTATGAAAGCAGAAAAGCAATTCAGTCAAGCAATGCATTCTGCATTCTGATAGGAAACCACATGTGAGACAAGTGGGGCACAGAAGCTCACGGGATGGATGTCCAGTGAGTCCTCAAAAGCCAGTGTGCATTCCTCAACTATCCAATGCTGCAGGGAAGTGGATTCAATGACCCTGAGTGCTCCAGCCAGTCCTACACCGCTAATAGCAGGGATCCCTCCCTATTGCCTAATGCTGGATTATGCAAAAGACATCCAGAACTGCCAAGTCAGGGCTTTGCATTACCATTCCAACCCCCAGCAGATCCGGCTGCGACAAGGCATTAGCCCTGGATACACCACTGTCATTAACCTCCTCCTCCATGCTCACTCCCCATCATGGCTCAGCACACAGACCAGCCTTCAGCTCTCCCTGTGCTCACACAGCTGATGCATGGGAAAGGACAGCAATTCCAGCCCTCTTCAATCCCCAGTGACTCTGGCACAGCTAGATCTCCTTAAAGAAGAAGTTTCTGCCTGCAGTGAAGTCACTCTTCCAAGCTAGAGGTCAACTTACTGCTGGAGATCCCTTTTGAGGTGATGCTCGGAGAACATGTTTGTGCTCCACATGAGAAAGCTTTAACACATCACATTGCACACAAAGCAGAACATGAATTGAGGAAACACTACAGGACCCTACTGCAAAGAGAAGAAGCCTTGTAGATTCACAACACTTGTACAGACTACCAAATTCAGGGCACATTTCCAGTCCTGCCTGACCTAATCACCCTTCTCCGAAGCAAACAAAATGCTGTAATATTTGTTTTCTAGGTTGACTGCTGCAAAAGGAACTGCTATGACCTGAAGCAACAACCCAAATCAAACACTTTCAAAAACACAATTCCAGCCTGAAAAAGTTTGCTGCACTCTTGAAATGTTTACCACAGTAAATTTTGGAGGTTACTGGTAGGCCAAGCAAGAAAATCCGACCAGAAAGGGCAATTCCAACAACATAGCCTACATTTCAGCTGCTCTTGAAAGTGGGTGTAAACTTGCAGTATACATTCCTGAGGAACAACCACATTCAACTTGCACAATAACATTTAAAATACCTCTGAAGAGCAGATGAGCCACTGTGGTCCTGCTCTCCAGAGTGACAAGCAAGCAAGCAGCTACTTGGAAGTGCATGAGCTTGCAAAGAGCTCTCCATGGAGAGAATCAAACACACAAGGAATTTAATGCCCAAGCCAAGCTGTTCTGGGATAAAACAGTTAGGAGCCACTGGTACAACAAGATCCTGCAGAAACACAAATTCCCAGCCATGACAGCTGATTTACAAGATAGAGACCCCCAAAATGAGTGGGTTTTGCATGGAATTATTTTCCTTAGTGTTAGCAGAGACATTTAGGTTAACAACCTGTCAGCTCAGGTCACAATTTTGTGACAATTGTGTCACAATTTCTTTTCAAATGATAATCAAATAACTATGCACAAATTTTTCAGCCCCCCATGCTCCAGGCATTACTTACAGTGGTATGATGAGAGACACTGCCTCCAATATTGAGGTTTTTGAGAAGCTGGGGAGAGCCTCCATACTGCCCCGAGATCTGCTTCCTGACTTCTGCAGCCACAGTTCTGGAATGAGACAGGGACAATGTTATCTCTGTAAAAGGATCACAATGAAGATGATATAGCAAACACACTTCACAGAGCTGCTGGAATGAAACCAAACTGTGCTGGTTAGAATAAGGGTGTCACTGGCCTCTGAGAACAGAGAAAAAAATCCCAGAACATGATAAATTCCCAGGAATCACAAAACTCTCACAAGGCTGCATAGCCAAATTCTTAACAGCAATTAGCATTCTTCCTTGTGCGCACATCTGTGGCAATAAAATGCATGTGACCCTGAGCACAACTGAACTTGTTCCCAGCAGGCTCTTTCCAATTCTTACCAAGGAAAGCTCTTCTCCTGAGCTCCTCACATCCCTCAGCAGCTCCATTATGGTCACACAGCTGCTCCTGTACTCTGTATTTTCATCCCTTGCCTATTTTTGCAGTCACAGTCAGAAAAGGGGCCAGGAAACAAATGACTGAGTTTGAACATGTTTCCTCTTCCATGTAGGAAAGGTAAAGGTGGGACTACAATGACTAACAGAGGGGACAGTGGCCTATAGGGCACAATGCCTTGTGGTCTCTGCCAGAGAGAAATCCGACTACTGGGCAATCTTTTCATCAGGAAGAAAAAACACAGAGCCTGAAGGGTGAAATCCACACTGCGTCCCTCCAGGATTTTCTACTTTCCCCAGAAAAGTTACATTGTCACTGGTAAGGCAGAAAACACAACAGGTATGTAAACCCATCTAAGGAGGGTGGAAGAGCAAGGAAGAGCACAATAGAGAAGGAAATGGTGATGGTCAGAGATTGTCTTAACAAAGAGCCATGGGTCAAGCCCTGTAACCCAGCAGGAAGCTGCAGCACATCTCAGCAGGGATAGCCAAGTTTGAGTCTGGTGAAAATGGTTTTACTCTAAAAGCAAACCAAAAATACAGATTCTTTCCATGAAAAACTGTTTTGCTGAAAAGCTGCTGACTACCCCTGGCCTACGGGACCTCACCAACATGAGTGCTCCTCTCGAGGAGTCAACAGCCAATTTATTAGTGACAAACCCACTCCCAATCATCATTCATCACATCACAGCACTGGCTCCCAGAACAAATTCCCAACTCCAAAGAGCTGCTACCAGTGCCTAAGAAATGAAGAGGCTGCCAGGACATGAATTACTTCAGCTGTACCAGCAACCTTTGTAGGAGGAGCCTCACGGCTAACAAACTCCCTCCTGATGTCACTCAAGGGAACTTGCTGTGTATCAGCACAGCACATCAGCTGCTAAAATCCTGTCAAGTAGATGGTTAAACCTTCCCTGAGCTAAACCTTGACACATGGATGGGCTCCAGGCAGGGATGGAGGCAGCTGGAGGCAACTTCTGTCAATGGAAGAGAACTCTAATAGGGAACTAGCTGGGACAATAGAGGCTACCATGGAGAGCAGATGTTTCCTCAGGTCAGAGGACAGGCGTAAGATTAGCTAGAGGAAACATGATTTTTGTCCTTATAAAAAGTGGAGTGCAGAAGGGAAAAAAAATACAGTTTTATGTATTCTGGCTGCAAGAAGTCATTTCCTTCATGTTTGCCTTTATCCACAGGAGCTGATGTTTTCACTTCTGGAGGGTGGCTTTTGAAAGAGGACCAAGCAGCTCCTGCTGGGGACGGACAGCATCCAGGAAAAACCATCCTCCCTGCTCAGACACATACACGTGAGAACAAGCCATGAGTGCTGCTGGCATTTGTAGGAAAACTTGGAAGGTATTAAAATGGCTGCTTGGCATGGAAAACACTGCATGTGTGGCTGGTGATTTAAAAGCTTGCCCCCGGGTTGCAGACAATCTCTGCTTTAAACTCTTCCCCTGTGTGTTTTGCGTAACTCCTGACGATATGCAGAGAGAGCCCTGGCAGGAAAAATCAGAGCCCACATTTCATCACATAGCACAGCACAGGAAAAACTAAAAATCCTTCCCCATTTTCAAGAAACAGACATTGTTTCCAGATGGAAAGTACAGCCAGAGGAGGAAACCTGTCCTCAGCTGGGAAACCACAGCCATGCCTGGCTGTGTTACTCAGCACCACCTCCTCCTCCCTCAAGACATGCTCTGTGATAGGCTCTGGAGGGGTTCTCAGTCCTTTCTTCTCCTGTTGGCCTCAGCTGGAAGCTGTGTTTGGGGCAATACATCCATCATTCCAGCCTAACCTGAAGCAGAGGCAAGCTCAGCTGCAATGGTCATGTTGCTAGGGGCACTGTGTTTTTCACAGATGCTATTGTACTGTCCAAGATCATCATGAGTGAGAAGGTCATTTGATGCAACAGGGGAAGAAATGTGGTACAACAAAGGGGTGGCACTGGTCAGCACAGCTTCTGGCATGTTCTGGTTCAGGAGTTGCAGCAGACTGGCAGGCTAATGGTTGGACTCAATGATCTTAGAGGTCTCCTCCAACTCTTAATGATTCTATGAGCTGACATTCACAGCTGCTCCATGTTTCTGCCCCATTAATAGCCTCACTGGATATTAAAAATCCCCCTGAAGCATGATCACAGAAAATCAGCACTGAACCTCCACTGGGTTTGGCCAAGAGACCATCATTACTCCCAAGTGTAAAGTGCAAGTACCAATCACACCTCTCTCTACATGAGTAAATGGATACTGTCTAAATCTTGAAATTCCTGCGTGGAGTCTGCAGGACTTACTACTACTTACTGCAAGGCTGAGGTCTAATCCACAGCTCACATTGGCTCTTTTCTGTATCATCCACAGAGAGTTTGGATGTCAGTTCCCTGCTGGAAACCACTGGGTCTCTTGACATTTAGAAACCATCTTCTAGAGTAATCTGATCACCAAATGTATTTATGGGTAATCTATACCATTTGGTTTTGTGCCAACATTATCAGGTTCAATAGTTCTCCTCCCATTCCTTTCCACTTGCCAGGTGTCCTCTCCTAGACTTCCTTCTGGGAGGATGAGCAAGGGTAGAGCCTGCAACAGGCTTTTGACTCCCTTGAGCACCCTGATGGCTCTTCTGCACTTGTCCCAGTTGGTAATCACACCTTTTAGCTGATGTTCTTCACCTGATCACTCGCTCCAGATAAGGAGTAGAACCTTTGCAGAACCAAATGAGCATTTTCCTTTGGAGAAAACACTTTTAGGGCTGTTTCCTCTCTGCTTCAACACAGAGGTTCCCAGTTTCCTTAAAACTAATAACACCTGCGCTAATGGAAGGTGTCCCTGCTCATAGCAGGGGTTGGAAATAGATGAGCTTTAAGGTCTCTTCCAACCCAAACCATGCTATGATTCTATGAACACACTTGCCTTTTCCTCCTCCTCCATTTCCAGAGGCCATTTGTCCATGACAAACTATTCGTACTAGTTCATAACCCTGACCACTATTTCTAACCAGAAGCAACTAACCAACTTAGGTGTTACATCAGACCCAATCAGAAAAGAGAAATAAATCTCATAACACTCTCTAAATGTAGAAAAAAATTTAATTAGGCATGGCAGAATAGTCATTAGTGCTTTGATAATTAAAAGGACAAATAAAAAACTGCCTCTTTAATAGCTGTCTAATATTCAACATGTAACCTGGGATCCTCAGACAAACATTCCAGTTAATTACAGCCCACAGCCTCATGAATGTCTATGTTTAAAGTACCTCTTCCCCAGTCACTTCCTTTCTGACCCTCTTCACTGGTTAATTATTGCGTGTGCATGTGGTTCACATAGGAAAAAAAAACACAAAGAGAGGAAAAAAATTCCCCTTGGAACTGGCTTCTAAAGCAAAACAAAACTGGTCATTCTCAAAGTACTCTGAGCTGCAAATAAAATGAAACCATTTGTTTGCACTTCCTTGGTTCTCTACTACACACAGAAATAATCTCTATGTGGCCTACCCAGTCAAAACCAAAAATCGTTCCTTTTTTAGATTATTTTGCTTAGCTTAAACAGATTACTGGAAATATCAGTTCTTCTTTTTGCCCTTCCCCAAAGAAGGCCCTCCAAGATCTGCCTGGTTATGCCGAGTAAGGTTGAGGTACCTTCCCTTTCACAGCAAAGGTGGATCAGGGCACAGCCATAGGATCACCCACTGAATGATTTGAAGACTCTTTTCCACAGCTCTCCCTGCTTGGAAAGAGCAATACGAATAGTTTCTCCCCATCCTGCTAATTACAAAACTGTTACTCCTGCCTGTTCTTCATCTTGTGTGTCACGTGCAGTGACTGTACACCCAGCCAGCCTTTGCCTCTGGAGAAAGACAGCCTGGTACAGTGAGGCATCTGCACAGCCACAGCAAAGCTGCTTGTTCTCCCCCAGAGCAGAGCAAACTGCATTTATACATAGTTTACTTTTTAAAGTGAAAGCATCACCCTCTGTTCAGCCACTCACTGCATACTGCAGATGGCTGGAGGCATCTATCCTGCTGCACTCACTGAATCCCCAAAGCCCAATGGCACTGGCTGCGTCTGTCTTGTCACTGCAGTGAGACAACCTGTCCCTCTGTGCTGCACCTGGGCTTCTCCTGCCTGCAGCCCTGCTCCATCCAGGTGTGAGTCACCAGGAAGCTAGGGTTGGATGAGGGAACCTGCTGGAGGGGGAGCCTGGAGCTCCCCTGGCAGTTCAGCCATGGATGCAGTCTTCCTCCTCATCCCGAGGTCCTGTTTCTTTCTGAGTGAACTCCTTCCCCTTGGAGTGAAATGAGTTTGATTCACAGCTGAGGAAATACCCAGCCTGACCCTGCCTGCTGCGGGGGACGCATGGGTTCTTAAATTAACACAGATGAGCAACAACATTCCCTTTTTCCTCACCATTGATTAAAAGAGAAAACACCACATAATGCTGCCTGAGGTGCTCCTCTGATAATATTGGATTATTAAGGCTGAAACGTCACCCCTAGGCTGCAGAGAAGGGAATGAGCTCCCAAGACACCTGACTGTGAAAATCACCACAGGACTGGATTCTGCAGGAGATCAAAGTCACAACTCACGCTAAAAACAACCCAACCAAACGAGGAGCCTGGTACAGAGAAGCA